GTGCATGCAGCAAGCATGGTGGGGAGAGGCAGTGTCACCCCCTTGGCAATGCAGTACTTTCTCTAACACTTAAGTCTTGAACAGACAGTTCTTAATGTCTTCCACTTTTTCAAGACTTCTCTATGTCTGCAGCTGCTGCAGAAAGGGGACATAATAATTCCACATATCAGAGCAATGATAGCGGGTGTGCAAATTTCTCAATTTATTTCCTAACCGTTTAACTGGGGCAAATATCCCCTTCATTTATATCCCTTCCATATTTGGGCATATTTCTGTCTGCAAACCACAGCAATACATTTTCCAAAAAGGAGTGGTGGAAAGGCATGACAACCCAAAGGCTGGCCTGGTGAGTTGTCGTGTAGTGGAAACCAGATGCATTCACGAATTCTGTGTACAAACGCTTCTATAATGCTCTAGCTCAATTCTGAAGAAGTGCCAATGTGTTTACTAATAACACCTCTTGCAAAATGGCATTGGACAGGTTTAGAGAGTAGTCAAACTTAGGCTAGATTGAGGATTAAGTAAATCCATGGTAGGAGTAGAGGAAGTTTTTAAATTTCCCTAAAGAAGTCAGAATTTTACAAATCAGAATTTAACAAATAATCTATTTCTAGAAGGACATTTGCTTTTGAGATATTAAGAGGAAGCTTCAAAGCTTTTATCTGTGGAGTTCCTCCTAATTATATTTCACCCTTATGATACTTGGTGGCAAAATCAACCCACAATCTCAGCTTCCTTAACCCAGAGCATGTGGCCCAAAGCCCCACCTCCTTTTCCTCCTGGGCTAGTAGCCGGAGGTATCCAGTAGCTGCCTCATCTCCCGCAGCCTACTGGCAAAAGTATGTTAGTGACCTTTAAAGAGGAATTCTCCCTGCACATGACAGCTGCTGCTATCATTCAGGGACATGGTGCTCAATGTCCAAGGTCAGTTCCCCCCTGCAAACTGTTTTGTTTAAGGTAGACTTGGCTGAATTTATTATATTTATCTGTGGATGTCACTCGCCAAGTTTTATGGATACACAAAAAGGCGCCATCACTGTAAGGGATTATTTTCTCTCTCTTTCTCACTTAATGTTGCTGCAGCCAAGCTGGGGTGGGGAGTCTCTGGCATCTGCAGATGAGCCTTGTATACGTCAGTTAAAAATTAGCAAGTCTCTACACAGCCGGGAAGACTGTGAAGAAAACCAGGTCTGTGCTTAGGCCAGGTCTTTGAGATAGGTACAAATGGAAATGGCAATGTAGAGTAGTAGAAAAACAGACATCAAGCGGGAACAGCTGGATTCAAAATCTCACTTTACCATCTGGGAATCCTTCAGCAAGTCCTTCAGTCTTAGTCTAATCTACCTCACAGAGTTGCTGTGATGGGATAGGAGGGTGAGAAGAACAACTGGCTAGGAAAAGTCAGTATCCTTTATTCTCAACTGAAGAAGAGTCATTTTCACTCATTATTTTAAACTGGGTCTGGCAGCAGGTCTATAGCCTTAAAAAAGCATCCTATCCAAGCAGTCATCAGATAAAAAAACAAAGAGTATGTGCCCCCTGAAAAAAAGTTTATGTTGATATACCTTCCAATTCACTGCTTCAGTTTTTAAAAATCATTTTTCCTGTATATTTTAACTCCACTGATTACTTCATGTAAGAATTAAAAAACCTGCACATGCAACCCCTAAATTTTTTGGAGGAAGGATGGAATTCAGAACTGATCTTTAAGAATATGCAATAGGTTGTTTGCTTTTTGTTGTGCAAAAAAGAAACTGGGATACAATCAGTGTTGCATGAGCTTGACCAAAGGAGCTTTCCTCTCTTTCCCTACATTCTGCAGTCCCATTCTATTCCCAAAATTTGTTTTAAGGGGAGTCCCCCACCCTGCTAGAGCAGATTTGGGGGTTGTACTAGGGAGGGGAAACTTCTGACAGATCAGCTGATGGCACAATTAGACTGTACCTTATGGGATTTGCACTACCTGAATGTCTGTGCCTTGCAAGTTCACTCAAACTTTTCCCTGGCTTCTCTTCCCTTTTTTTAAGGGAAGTCCCTTTTTAAGTACTTTGAATTAGGTAAGTTATTCTTTAAGTCAGTACAAATTGACAGTATTGCCCATGTCTCATTTTCTTAACCCCTCTTTCTAGAAACAAGCTGTAATGTGAATAAGTCTTATTCTTTAATTGTAAGTCAATTCTTTAATTGCAGTCCAACAAACAGTCAGGATTGTCAAGAGCTACACATTTAAAATAATATTTGAAATTAACAGGCTTCATACTGCAGGTAAAAGTGGAATCTTCATAAACACGATGAATGACCAGTATAGAGGGCAACATCTATAAATGAAGTCACAAATCCATGCGTTTTTATTGTCAGTTTCTGTGGAATGGCATGGTTGTGGAATAGAGATGTCTGTTGTGCTAATCTGGAATAAAGCACCTGCCAAATCTGCTGCTACCTTCCAGGTGCCTCCTTTTAAACATACAATGCGTAATTTTGAAGTGTCACAGCTACACACCATTTTATAGATCATACTTCACAGCATTATTAGTAATACTGCTATGAAAGGCTGAATTGATGATCACACTTCCTGCCCTTCAAAACTGAAATTTCCCACACTGTACCAAACTTACTGATTTTCCACCAGCAAGTCATCTTCCACCTTCAACCCATCCATCCCTGCTGTTTATTGATTAGGGGAAAGAGTACCTTTGGGGGAAAATAGTAACTGTGGTGAGGATATGGGGCTGGAAAAAAAAGCACAGGGTTCAACTGTGTTCGCTGTGCTCATGTTCTAGCTCGGGCCACTCCTGGAAAAAATATACAGCACTGGTGCTAAGTGCTAAATATTCATTAAAATGTGTGTTTAGAGCAACCTTCTTCACCCTGGTGCTTTCCCAGTGTGTTAGACTGACATGCTAACTGGTATAATGAGAGTTTCAGTCCAACTCTTCTGCACAGAACCAAACTGAGGAAGGCTGGCTAACAGTAATGTTCAGTTTGACCATCCAAATTCTCTTCTAGCAGAATCGCAATCAAACTGATGAGCTCATCCCACAACTCTTAAACCAGATGCTATGAAAAATACTGGGCTATATAATTCCTGTTATCTTTTAAAGGTTTAGAGCAGCCCTTCCCAACCTAGTGGTCCACATATGAGGAACTACAATGCCCTCATCTCCCAGTCATGTTGACTTGAGGATTCTGGGATTTGTGATCCTCTTTTATCTGGAGGGCCCCAGCTGAGGGAAGGCTGATCTATGGAGCTGCAAAGACACCCATGGTGGTTTCAAAAGATATAAAGGTATTTTTATATATACCCTTCTTGACCTGGGTTGTAACAAAACTAGAATGGTGCTAACCTGCTGCTTTTGGCAGCTAAAGTTTAACTCCTCTGCAAACACTCATATCCAGAAGCAGAGCACTCTCATCTGAATACAGTTCAGATGCAAACTACAGTGATGTTTATTCCCTTTCCACAAACTCCTTGTTGTGTTGTGTGCATGGATATATACCCTTGTATTTACTATAAACATTTCCAATCCAAATGGTGTCATCAGAATGGCATATAAGCTGGCCAGACAGAAGAAGAAACTCAGTGGTGGTAGTTGCTTAGAAGCGCTTCCATCTACAACTAGTGTTTGGATACCAATTTTTTAAGGGGCTCACCAACCAAATGTGGAAGCTGTCAGTGGCGGCGAGCCCTGCTGGGCCCCAGGAGCCCTTACATTCACCTATGTATGCCAAGTGCTGGTGCTAGGCCTGTTCAAACATGACCAAATATATTCAATGCCAGAAACCAGAAAGAAAATGCCTGTGGCAAGGGCTGAAGTTAAATACGATAAGGGATGGTGACTAATACTTCTAGAAGAGGGACCAGATCTGGGGCTGTTTCAAGTTTGCTGCCTGAGGTAAAGGACAAGAGGGTGGTCCCTCTGCACGCGAAGTGCAGAAGCTGACTGGACTGGCAGTTGAATCTTATGTCAGCATTCATGTTGGGATGGCACCCTTCACCATACCTGAGGCAACAGGCTAGTTCAGGGAGTCCAAAAGAGGTTGTGCTGTACCTGCTCTCCAGCATAAAGGCACACCTGGAGTGCTCATGAAGACTAGTCAGGAGGAAACTTCTACCCGTCGCTTGCCTAGCACCTATAACTTCACTCTGCCTAACAGTAGGGCCAGCTCTGAGCAGAATATATGGTCTGAGGTAAGAATAGTAATTTAATAAGGCAGTGATCAGGAAAAAATATGCTGATGTTCTCTTCAGAGTTCACCCCAGAGATCTGAGTGCACCTAATGTGGTACTGAGGGACACCTGCTTCTCACCCCAGCCTGTTTCCAGGATTTTGGTATCATAAGGGGCTCCTGCAGGGGTGAGCTCGGACTCTCCTCCATTGTACATGTCAAGTACTGACAGGAATTGCTTGCACAGGGTGGGTGATCGGTTTTCTTGGGCGCACATAAAAGCTGCCCCGCTCGTCGCGTATCTTTAGAGTAAGAAAAAAAGGCCCTGCCTGGTCCGGGCCCTCCTCACAACCTCGCCGCGAAAAGTCTGCCCTGCAGGGCCGCCGAGGCGAAGTGACGCACGCGAGGGCAAGCAAAGGCGTCGTCCAGCGCCGCTCCAGCTTAGGGGGTATTGGCCGGGGAAAGTCCGTCGAGGCTGAAAAACTGAAAGCTGCCCTCCCCGCGCGGCACATAAGTCTTGCGCAAGGAGTCCACAACGCTTGCACTCGGCGGGCGTCCTGTAAGCGCGCGGCTGGCGACCATGCGGAGGAGGAAGGCGGGAGTCCAACAGCGGCAGCGGCAACAGCAGTTCCCACCTCGCTTTGCCGCTGCTCCCCTTCCCTGCCGGCAGGAGTCACGTGGAGGGCTGGCTCTTCCCCGCCGCCTTTGGGCTCAGCAGCAGCAGCAGCAGCAGGGAGAGCCCGGCTGGGAGCTCGGCGGCGGCGCTCTTTTAAAGTCAGTTCCTTTCTCCGCCTCTCTTGCCCTGCAGGGAGTTCCTCCAACCCCGGGGTCAGCATCAGTTTCAAATCTCCGGTGCGCCAGGCAGAAGGCTGCGCCCGCGTGCGTGTGCGCCCGCCTGTGCAAACAGCCGCGTCTCGCTCTGCTCGCGGGGCGGGACGCGTCATCCGTGACTGCCGACCCGCACCCACTCCGGACCCCCGAGCTCTGCTCCCGTGGCAAAAACTGCCTTCGGTGGATGGAAGCCTTAGCATCGCGAAACGGGACGTGCGGGGCGATCGGGAAGTAACAGCTCCTGCTCACAAGAATGCTCGCTGCCTGACAAGAAGCTATTGCAGCAGGAGTTGGTTGCCTCCGTGGATGAAACTCCTCTGGGGAGACAGAAATTGAGAGAGAGACAGAGAGAGAAAGCATAGATCCCCGCGAGTGCTTCTTGCTCGACCCCAACTTTTCAGCTCAGCCTCCCAGCCTTGGCTAAGAGATGGATCAGGATGGCATTGATCTTCACAGAATTCCCCGCGAGTCGTGTAAGTGTTGTGTAGTTCTAAGGGGAAGGAGGGATGCGCAGAAGCTTTGGAGCTTGGACTCCGGGGGTGCTATCCTGAGTCCAAAACGATTTTCTTCTGCTGCTTTCTTAATTCCTTCTGGGGAACAAGTTACTCAAGCTCTCCCTCTGTTCCCGTCAAATAGAAAAGATGGTAATCATACACGAAAAATGATGGTGCGCCTTCCAAAGATAATAATGCCTTCTTAAGCATAACTGTCCGGTTAGGATACGAGCACGAGTTTCCTTTAACTTTAAAATAAATGTACGGATCCTAATGAAGCTGATCTTTATTAATACAACAGCACTTCAGAAGAAACAATGTTTTCATAGAAATGTGCCTATACGTGCTACATGCAGATTAAATTTGAAATAGCAAAGAGAAAATTGAGTCAATGTTATAATTGGCAATAATACATACTGGGGTTACTCATCTGGTATTGCCACAGTACTGACTTTTCTAATTAACACAGAGTTCAATTCTTAGTGTTTCAGGTATTGTTTAATGTTTAGGGAGGTGTGTTCCAACTGTCCTTCGACTTTATTCCCTCTTTGTGTGTGTAACATAGCCTAGAACAGAAGCCAAACAGCAGTTTTGTGAAATTTATCACTAATACCAAGAATAGGATACCTGATAAAATCCAGACTGGTAATTTGTTAAAGATGTAACTACTATAATAATTTCATAAATTTAATAAGAATGTGGAATATTAAAATCTAGCTAAATGAACCTGGGAAGTGTCTAATGTTAAAAGCCAGAAGGTTAAAAAAAGAAAATTGGGAAGTTATTCTAAGATGTCCTTAGAAACAACTTAATTGGCGTATCTGATACGTCTATGTTTCTGATGCACGTTTTTGCATGTATTTTTTAAAATATAGTCTCATGGCTGGACAACAGATGACATAACCAGTGTCCACTGTGTGGTTCCCTTAGTCTTTTACTTTCAAGGGAGTTAACAGAACTGAGCTGTTAAGCTGGGACATGCTGAAATACAGAACTGTCCAGCTGAACTGTATACAAATGAAGTAAATTTAGAATGGCACAGTTTATAAATTCCATGCTTTGTAATCAAGATGCCAAATCTGACTGTTTGCTTCTAAAAATAGGACGGGGAGCCCTTTTCTTTACTCCCTTCATTAAAATTCCCATGAAGTACCAGTATGCTGATGTTGCTTGTTAAAACAGCAGTTATGGAGCTAGAGTTCGGCCCATGTCTAAAGGTAACACTGCATGCTCATCAGATATCTCACCAGCCACAGTGTCTCATTCTGGGGCAAGGCAGAAAAGAGACTTATGAGAATTAGGAGAATTAACCTGTCAGGAATCAGCTATGTTTCACACCCAAACATTGTTTTTTTCTGGATATTAAGTATCCTCTGCAGTCTTATTATGATCAGTAGGATAGAGGGGTACCACTTAGGTTCATCCCAAAATTTGTCTTGAGGAAAATCTTTTAAATCAAATAATCTCAGCTCTAGCACATGACATAGGTTATCAGAGGGGGCTGATCAATCTGAGGGTTTTGGTGTATAAATGTACTAAACAGCAAAAGCATGTTGAAATTTATCCATGAGTGTTCTACATAACAGACTGATAAACTATGGGAAAACTTCAAGCAGTAAATAAGAGGAATTTATTTTTTTCATTTTTATCTGGTAAAATTAAGGGCCAGTGGCAACAGACAGCTTCCAATGTGACTTTTACATTTTTCTCTCTGGCGCATTTATATATCTGTTTCTAGACCCACAAATCTATAGATCCACAAATAATCCTCTCAGCCATGTGCCATGCATATTCTTATTTCAGTATGAAATGAGCTCTACAGATTGTCATTTCTTCCAATATGTACCAAATATTTTTGCAGTCACACACACAACTACACAGTCCTAGTTAATTTGTGGAACATATTGCCATGGGGGGTTATATATAATTTGTGTGCATATTTAAAGGACTCTGTATATTTCTGCAGGATAGTTATATGTTCCTGGCTATTAGCCAAGTATCATAGTATGCATGCTCATTAGTGGAGTGTCCTTAAATCTTAGACTGCTAGAGGTCAAGTTCATAATTCAACAATAGAACACAGTTTATTCACTTCTGGACTGTGCTTTTTATGGTCACTCAGAGACAGATGACTGGATCTGCAGCTAGGATGAACCACTATGGTTTTCTCTTTATCACAGAAAGATTCTGAATAACATATTGTTATTACTACAGTACTTGAACTGCACAGGGGTCTTTGATGCCTTCCTTTTTGTCATGTGTCCCCTTAGCTGCTGCTTTTAAACACCTATAGGTAAAGCATCTATATCGTCTGCTTTACCTTCATAACGCATGAATTTACTGGACAAACAGGATCCAAGTAAAAGGGAGAATTTTTGCTCATTCAAGATAAAATTTTTTTTAAAAGACAACCCTGTCTCTGATTTTGCAGTAATACTATGACTATCCTTGACTCTAGTGAGATTTAACCCCAATACCAAGAGAGAGGAGTTTGTAGTCCTCAAGATGGTTTTGGACTTTAAAGCTCATCATTCCCAATCATTGGCATGCTGGCTGGGACTAGTGGAAGCCAGTGATACCTGGAGTCATAGGTTCTGCAGCCCTGCCCAATATCATCCCCATTCTGCCTTCTAGGAGACAGATTCTGAAACATGCACGGCCTCGTCGCTTTTAGGCGCCTTGAATGGGCCAGCCTCTAACAGGTGCTGGAGAGAGCTCTTTTCCCTTTACCACAGTCCAGGGATGGGAGAAGTGGCATCTGCTGGAACTGTTCGAAGCTGCTTAGGTTTCCTAAAGGCACAGCAACACCCTTTTGGAATACCGTTACTCTGTGCCTCTGAGTCATTGGAATTCTCTTTCATGAGTTTGTGGTTTCAATTAGGGAAAGGGCAAATGAGATGTCTGCTTGCCTCCCTGTCATAATCCTTCCAACTCATAGGCATGTTACCATGTGGAGGGAAACATTACTGATCTTTCCAGCACTAGCTTATGTTGATTCCCCTTCTGTTTCCCAGCAAGAAATGTGTACAGGTGTGAAACACCAGTTGGGGGCAGCCCAGAGTCAGCTTTGAAAAGGGTAACGTTAAGAAGCGCGGGTTTTGTTTGACTGTCTGCCCAGTCAGGATGTGAAGGTTGGTGTCCCAGCGTGATCAATCCAAGACAAGTTTGATGGGTGGCGGGAAACAGGCGGTATGGGGGGTATATGCTGCTCTGACCTGCTCACTGCTTTTGCAGATATACAACTCCATGGTAGAGAAGCTGGCCTTGTTTGGTAGAGCTGTTGTCAGACTCAGTCAAACTGCTATCCTTATAACAGGCAAGCTGCACATGGAGGGAGGGCCTATAAATTGCTCTTCCAAGGATGTGAGAACACAGTCTGGTATCCAGTGTAAGGCCCACAGGTGGAAAAGCAGCTCTCCTGTCACACATGGGGACTGGCAAGGGTGTGACATGACCAGAGCAGATGGGGCTGAATACCTGAGTCAGGCTGTAGCTTCAGCCATATGCCTTTGCTAAGTCCGCTGACTCAGTTTTAAATGCCTAGACTGGTGAACTCCAAACATCAGAGGTGATAATTTAACTATAATTGTATAATTGTTTATCCTGAAATGCATGATCCTTTGTGAGCCAGTGAGGTATAGTGGTTAAGAGTTTGGGACTGGGACTCAAGATCTGGGTTCTAAGTCCCCTCTCAAACACGGAGCTCACTGGATGACTTTGGGTCAGTCACAGACTCTCAGCCCAACCTACCTCACAGGGTTGTTGTGAGGATAGAATTGCAAAGAAGAGAATTATGTAAGCTGCTTCCTTGAAAGTAAAAAAAAGGCAGGATATAAATAAATTATCTACAGGGCTGAACTGTTATGTTATATTAAATGTGCAGTTAGCATTTTCATCCTCTGCAAATAAATAAATAATAATAATAGTAATAATAATAATAGCCGTGTGTATGGGGCGGGGGGACTTTGGCTAGAAGTGGAGGGAGGCTAACCCTTTCTCTCAGCACCACAGCCCTGATGGAAGTTGCCCTTTTTGTGCAGCTGCTGACAGTTGCTGGGGCAACATAGAAACACAGAAACTGAGTGAGTCAGAATGGGTCTCCTGGGCCATCTAGTCTGACCCCCGGCTCTAGCCAGCTCCTCTCATGACATGCCAACCAGGCACATTAGTGGTTTCTGTTATTCCCACTTCCTATAGGTGGGCTGCTTCTAGTTGACCACTGTGGGAACAAAATGCTAGACTAGGTTAGCCTTTGATGTGATTGGGCACATCTCTTTTATGTTCTTTTTTGCCCTGTGAAGGAGGCTGCTCTTGATGCCAACAGCAACTTTCTTTCCATAGCAAACTACTGCTTTGGAAAGGGGATTTTAATCAGAACTGGAGAACTGGGGGAAAGTTATACTTTTCTCACTGCACCCCGGTTCTGATCAAGATAATTCTATAGTTCCCTTAAAAACAAACAAATCAAATACAGATCATGCATTTATTGTTCTGTTTGGCCTATGGAGTATTGTGTTATGGTCTCATAACTTTCTTTTTGTTCATTTGAAACACTAATATACATTTATTTTAGAAAATCAGGGACAGCATACTTTCCAACATCTTACAGATGAAAATAGGAAAGCTTGAGTATGGTTATAGTGCCTTGCAGAAGTATTCAAACTGCCCTTGACTTTTCCATACTTTGTTGTCTTACAACTTGGAACTGAAATTGTTTTAATTGATATTGTTACCGCTTGATATATACAAGATACTCAACACTGTGAAATGAAGGTGAAAATAGTTTTCCAGTCTGATCTCAGATTAAATGCACCTGTGTCTGGAATGCCCCAGAGTTTTTTGGGGCGCATATCTAAACAAACAGCATCCTGAAGACCAAGGAGCTATTAAATAAATAGTTGTACAGATGCACCAATCAGGTGTTATTAAAAAAAATCTGAAACAATGAACTATGGTACCAAATGGCAAGAATATGGCTT